CTACCTTACTTACTTACTATTTAACTTAGGTTATAATATAAACTATTTTAAGTTCTAATAATTAGTTAGGACTTTTACTAGTATTATTAACCTATTTATATAGTGTTACTAAGTTTTAAATAACTTTATAATTACTAGTATCTCTTAATCTAGCGTACTATAGTTTAGTTCTACTCCTTAGAGTTTCTAGGACTAAAAAGCTACTAGATACTAGAGGCCTTTATTACTAAGCTATAATAAGATCCCTATAGCTATATATTATAACGTATTTATCTTAATTTAAGTTAGCTTCTTAAGGTTAAAATAATAAAGTAATAAGGCTAATTAAAAAGTAAAATATAGACTTCTAAATACTATATGTTTATTCCTTCTAAAGGCTAGATTTCTTATTTTCTTTTTATTTTTACTCCCTTTTAGTAGATCTATAAGGGGCTTAGCTATTTAAGAGTAACCCTTAATAAACCTTCTATAAAAGTTATAAAATTCTAGAAATACCTAAATATCTTAAAACGTCTAGGGTTCTAGCTAGGTAGTAATTACCTTTACTTATTAAAGGTTTATTAAGACCCCCTTATTTAATAAGTAAAACCCTAAGAACTTTACTTCTAATTTATAGAATTTATATTTCTTAGGGTTAGTATATAGCCTTACTATCTATAGGTATTTAAGCACCTATAGTAGGTGTTTTATATAGGACTCCTTATCTTTAAAAAAGATTAAAATATTATCTAAAAAATAAATATAGATATTATTTATTAGCCCCTTTAGGGTAAGATTTATATAACTTTAGAATATTATAGGGGCGTTTATTAGGCTAAAAGGTAGGACTAAGTATTTATATAGCTTATATTAGGGTTTAAAAAGCTGTTTTCTATTTATCTCTTTTTATAATTTAAATCTAATAGTATACGTCCTTAATATTAATCTTTAAGAAATACCTAGACTCTTATTATATAGTTAAGGATCTCTAAAATTAAAGGTAAAAGATAATAATTCTTTACCTATAACCTTATTAAGACCTTAGTGATTAATATTATAATTATAAAGAATTTATTTTTTTTT